AAACGATATCTTTATACATGTGTGTCCAACAACATAGTAGTTATATAGTTATTGTCTTAAAAGTTTGTCTTTTAAATCCTACAGGAAACAAAAATATAAGTTACAGGCAAAAAATATTTTCTTCTGTAAATATTTTTTTCTGCATTTTCTTCTGTAGTTACTTTTGCCAGTATTCTTTTTTTTTTAAATTTTTTTTGTTTAACGTTTATTTATTTTTGGGACAGAGAGAGACAGAGCATGAACGGGGGAGGGGCAGAGAGAGAGGGAGACACAGAATCGGAAACAGGCTCCAGGCTCTGAGCCATCAGCCCAGAGCCCGACGCGGGGCTTGAACTCACGAACCGCGAGATCGTGACCTGAGCCGAAGTCGGACGCTCAACCGACTGAGCCACCCAGCGCCCCATTAGTATTCTTTAATCTTTGTATGGCTTCAAGTTATTGTGGGTTTATTGTCTGTTAAGGACTTCTTTACCATTTCTTGTATGGTAGGTGAGTTCTAGCAACAAGTCTCCTCCATTTTTGTTTTTCTACGAATGTCTTAAGTTTTTCCATTTTTGTGTGATAGTTTGTTGGATATAGAATTTTTGTTTGCGGGGCATCTGGGTGGCGCAGTTGGTTGAGCATCTGACTTTGGCTCATGTCACAATCTCGTGGTTTGTAAGTTCGAGCTCCACATCGGGCTTGCTGCTGTCAGTGAAGAGCCTGCTTTGGATCCTCTGTCCCCCTCTCTCTGCCCCTCATCAGCTGCTACTCCCTCAAAAATAAACATTAAAACAAATTTTTTTTGTATGGCAGTTTTTTCCCGACAATTTAGATATGCCATCCTACTGCCTTCTACCTTGCATAGTTGTTGATGAGAAGTTGGCTGTTATTCTTAATGAGGATTAGTTAGTTGTATGTTATGGGTCATTTCTGTTTTACTTCTTTCAGTGTTTTCTCATTGTCTTTGGCTTTCATTATTTGATTGTAATTTGTATCTGTGAATCTCTTTTGAGTTTGTCCTATCTAGAGTTGTTTGACCTTCTTGAATTTGTAGATTTCTTTTTGTATAAAAATTGGAAAGTTTTTCATCAGCACGTTTTCAGATAGTCTATATTCTTCTGATAGTTTGTCCTCTGAAAGTCTAAGCCTAAGTTTTGTTTTACTCAAAGATGATTTCTGTCAACCTCTTTTCCTATTAATGGGCCGTATTTTTTTTTCTTTGTATGCCTTGTGATTGTTCATGTTAAAAACTGGACATTTTCAGGGTGCCTGGGTGGCGCAGTTGGTTAAGTATCTGACTCTTGACCTCAGCTCAGGTCATGATCTCGTGTGTTCATGAGTTTGAGCCCCGTGTCAGGCTGTGCACTGATGGTGCGGAGCCTGCTTGGGATTCTGTGTCTCCTTCTCTTTGCCCCTTCCCTGCTTGTGCATGGTCTTTCTTTCTCTCAAAAAAAAAATTTTTTTTTTCAGTATCGTAATATGATAACTCTAGACACTAGATTCTCTCCTTTTCCCTGAGGTTTATTGCCTCTTGAGGGCTACAGCCATGTGTGTAGTGACTTTTCTAAAGTATTGTTTTCAATTACTGTACTCATTGTCATGTATGGTTAATGAAATTTTATAATATCCGTAGACAGCAGTTAACTTACAGATATTTTGAGCCAATGGGAATCAAAAGGAAGAAAAGCAGTCTTTTGGTCTTGGCTATTTATCTGTAGCTGAGGTATTCCTTCAAAGGTTAGCCAGGTTGCTTACTGCTCTGCCTTAGTCTTCACTTTGTGCTTGCACAGAACCCAAAGATTAGCTAGAGTTGCAAGCCTGTGTCCTCTCATGTCTTCTGCAAATATGCTTCTGGCCCTGGGCATGTATGTAGCACTTTGGGTTTCTTGGTATATGTGATTAACTCTTTAAAGCCCTTGATCCCCAGAATATCTTCTTCCTTAGCCTCCTTATTCTGAAGCTTTTCAGATTGTCTGCTCTTTGTCACATCCACTGTCTCTTGCCTCACCTGTTTGTAGTGTATGATTTCAGCTTCCTTGGAAAGATGGTAGTCCAGAATCCCTTCAAAACACACAACCACAGTTTTTGAGAACAAGATCCATGTTCATATTTTTGCTACCAGAAAGATGCACCAGGAAATTGGTCTGTCGTCCCTATGGATACTGTTGATTGTGGGGGGAGGGGAGTTGGTAGAAAAACAAAATTCTACAGTGCTTTCTTTAAAAAAAAACAAAAACGATTTTGAGAGAGAAAGCACACATGCATGAATGCTCAAGCAGGGGAGGGGCATAGAAAGAGGGAGAGAGAGAGAATTCCAAGCAGGCTTTCTGCTGTTAGCACAGATCCCGATGCAGGGCTTGGTCTAACGAACCATGAGATATGATCTGAGCTGATATCAAGAGTCAGACGCTTAGCTGACTGAGCCACTCAGATGCCCGCACAGTGCTTTTCCTTACCACATTTTAGCAGGCTCTTTGTTAGGTCCTCTTTTCTCTGTTATAATTTGTTTTAAATTTCAGATGTCTGTAAAATTTGATTTTGTCAGTTTCACAAACCTAAGACTTGCTTTACTGGAAGGGCTGGTTCATGGAGCTTTCTACTCCGTTTTCCATGAGATCAGTCTGTCCTTTCGATTTGCAAAGACTGTCACCGAGTATATAAATCAAATGTTTATTTTTTTCTCTCAGCACTTCAAAGATGTCCTTCCACTGACTTTCAGCTTATATAGTTTTCAACAAAAAGTCTGATAAAATTCTTATCTTTGTGTTTCAGTGTGTGAGAAAACCTATTTCTTTGCTTCCTTTTTTCCTAAAGTTTATTTTTATTTGAGAGAGAGAGATAGGGAGTATGCAGGGGAGGGGCAGAGAGAGGGGGAGAAAGAATCTCAAGCAGGCTCTGCTCTGTAAGTGCAGAGCCTGACATGAGGCTTGAACTCACAAATTGTGAGATCATGACCTGAGCTGAAGTCGAGTCAGACGCTTAACTGAGTAAATCACCCAGGTGTCCCTTTAACTTCCTTTTTGTTTCCTTAACTTTTGGTTTTTAGCAGTATATATATTTTATAGTATTTATTCTAATTGGGAATTCCCTGATCCTGTATTTGTGTTTCAGTATCTTACATTATTTTGAGAAAGTTCTCTTCTATTATTTTTTTACCCTGTACTTTCTTTCTCTTGGAGTTCCAGTTTTATATACTTACGTGATTCCCTTGATACTGTGTCATGGTCTGTCTTGAATGCTCTGTTTTCTCCCACTTTCCCTGCCCTTTTTTTTTTCCCCCTTAATAGACTTTATTTTTTAGAGAAGTTTTATGTTAACAGCAGAATTGAACAGATGGTAGAGAGATTTCTCTTATACCCTAGTTCTCACATGGATCAAGCCTCTCTGACTTTCAGGTTTTCACACCAGACTGGTACATCTGTTACAATCAATGAACCTACATTGACGTGTCATTATCATCCAAAGTTCATAGCTTACATTAGGTGCACTTTGGGTGTTATATATTCTATGGGTTTTGATAAACGTATAAAAATTACATGCAGCCACCTTAATGGTGTCATACAAAATAGTTTCACTGCCCTAGAAGTCCTTTGTATCTGCCTATTTATTCCCTATGTACTTTTTACTTCTGGCAACCACTCATCATTTTATCATTTCCACAGTTTTGTCTTTTCCAGAATGCCATGTTGTTGGAATTATGCAGTATGTAAATCTTTCATATTGGCTTCTTTCACTTAGTAATAAGCATTTGAACGTTCTCCATGTCTTTTCAAGGCTTGCTAGCTCATTTCTTTTTAGTGCCAAATAATATTCCATTTTCTAACTGTACCACAGTTTGTTTATCCATTCACCTCCTGATGAACATCTTGGTTGCTTCCATGTTTGGACAACTTTAAATGAAGCTGCTATAAATATCTTTGTGTAAGCTTTTGTGTGGACATAAGTTTTTAATTTATTTGGTAAATATCAATGACTGCGTTTGATAGTACTGATTGATATAGTCTAAATATTCTAGCATATTCATTTCACTTTAAAATAATTTTCTTTTTCAAAGGATTTAAATATATTTTTTCCCTAAGAGGAAATACGGATAACCAGTGGGTACATGAAAAGATGCTGAATATCACTAATCATCAGAGTAATGCAAATCAAAACTACAATGAAATATCACCTCACAGCTGTTAGGATATCTCTTATCAAAAAGACAGGAGGTTAATAGTGGTGAGGTGGAGGAAAGGGAACCTTTTATACTGCTAATGAGAATGTAAACTAACACAGTTTCTATGGGAAACAGTGTGGAGGTTCTGTGAATAATTAAAACTACCATATGATCTAACAGTCTTACTTCTGAGTGTATTTCTAAAGGAAATGGAATTATTATCCTGACGTATCTGTACTCAAATGTTCATAGCAACATTACAGTAGCCACTGTATGGAAAACCTGTTTGTTGATGAATGAATAAAGAAAACCTGGTACATTATTTGTGTATAGGAACAGTATTCAGTCTTAAAGGAAATCCTGTCATTTGTGACAACATGGATGGACTTAGAGGCATTTATGCTAAGTGAAAGAAGTGAGAGAAAGACAAATGTCACATGGCGTCACATATACAAGTTGATTTCATAGAAACAGAGTAGAAATGTCATTGCCAGGGGTTAGGGGGTGGGGGAGGTAGTAAGAGGTTGGTGAAAGGGTACAGCTTTCAGTTATAGATGAATATGGTCTGAAGTCTAATGTGTAACATTACCTTGTGTAATATGGTAATATATAGTTGATAACACTGAAGTGTATAATCAAAATTTGCTAAGAGAGTAGAATTTAAATGTTTTTACACATAAAAGGTCAGTATGTGAGGTGATAGATATGTTGATTAACTTGATGGGGGGGGGTAGAAGACCTTCACAATGTGTACGTATATCAAATCATCACATGTGGTTTAAATATCATACAATTTGTCAATTATACCTCCATAAAATTGGAAATAAAATAATTGTCTTATTTTTTTTTTAATTAACAGGATTGACTTTGAAGTTATTTAAAAAGTTTGAGTTGTACAGCACTTGATTCTTTTGCTACATTGTGGAAAGACCTCTTCAGCAATGATTACTTCAGAGTTACCAGTATTACAGTAAGTATTATACTTTTCCTCTATTTAAAAAAAATACATGACACTTTTGTACATGAAATACTTCTGTCATCACATCAAATAGGTTCTCTCATAGTTGAACAATATGTCTGAAGTCAAACAGCAGTTAGACTGTACAATTACCATATCCATCCAGGGCTCTTATTATTGTTATAGGAGTATTTTTGTGGTATTGAGCAAAGAAGAGGTTACTCTTCTTCTCAGGGGTCAGCACACTATGATCCATGGACCAAATCTGGCATGCTGCCTATTTTTATAAATAAAGTGTTACTGGTACAGAACCATGCTCATTCCTTTACACATTGTTTGACAGCTTTAGTGCTACAAGTTGTGATAGAGAATGAATTGCCTGCAAAGTGTAAATATTTTGTTGGACCATTTACAGTAGTTTATAAACTCCTATATCCTACGGTTTCTCCCAACACATACCCTCCCACCTCTCCCCACCTTATTTTCCCTGAGATTCAGATCATTGGACCATTCTGGCTGCCAGAAGTAATATTAAGGATATACCAAGTTGGCATTTCTGATGGCATCTCATTAGATTTGTTGGAGTTGTAGGACAGATCTAGAATTGGGTTTTATTTTGTTTTCTTTGGGAAATATGATCAATGTAGTAGCAGATACTTTTCCTTTTAGAGGTTTCATCAAGATACAAATTAGAGTCTGCATACTGTGATCCTGTATGAGAACAGTGGTTTAGATACAATGAAAGTGATCAACAGTTTGTTTATTTATAATTTTTAATGCCCCTGTTCAACGTTTTTTTTTTATTTATTTATTTTTTTTT